TGTGTGTGTGTGTGTGTGTGTGTGTGTGTGTGTGTGTGTGACCCCGTGGGCCGAATGCGTTCAAATTTCGTAGGAGTACAGGAGGCAGGACGGGAACACTTTTAGTGGGTGGCAGGTTCGGACTCCGCTTAAAGGCGGGTTTGTGAGAAATAAATGTATGAGCAAAAATTCATAACCACTGTCCCCGTGGACCTAGAACGTTGAAATTTGGTAGGAGTTATGAGAACAAGATAGGAACACTAATGGATGGTGGATGACAGTGCTAGACCCCGCCCACAATAGGCGGATTTTTAGCAAAATTTCATCACTCCAGTCCCCGTGGACCTAGAACGTTCAAATTTGGTAGGAGTCATGGGAACAGGATGGGAATACTCACAGGGCAGGACCTGACTCCATCCACAGGGGCGGGGATTGCGCGAGCATTGTCAGCTTGGCCCCGAAAATTGCCAATTTCGCCTTTGCAATATTTTACGATTTTCTTGCTGAACACAGCGGAGATGGCTTACAGAAAAAATCGCTCCCAATTCGGAACTAATACTGAGGGTGTAGAGCTTTCAAGGAAAAAGGAGAATCCGAAGAGTTATTCACGCATAGCAAATTTCTCACAGGAAGGAGGGGCGTCCGGCCAAGTCGACGACACCATAAGAAGGAGGGAAGCCCGGCGTTAGCCAGGCGGCCCGACTGGTTGTTAATAACTTTCCAGGCCCTATCGATATACCTAAGTCTCCATTATCGATATACCTAAGTCTCTATTGAAAGTTCCATGGGAAGTTGAGTCCTTCCCTGGTTAGAACCGGCTTCGAACTAGCCACTGCTTGATGTTGTTGTTTAGAGTGTTCATCTCTTCATAAGATTGTTTCAATATGCAGCATCCTGCACATCAGCTTCAAAGGTGCTCCATGGCATTGCATTGCTAATTTTATCGTGGAGACGTAGTGGTAGGTGCTTAGCCTCTCGCATATGAGGACATCACATTCCATTGCAGTGCGATGCTGTATCATTCACAGCAAATTTTTTTTACCAGCATCATGGATCCACTTTAAATAGACCCCGCCACTGGATATTCTGCTTTGTGTATTGAGGTAACGGAGCCAGCCGTCATTTAATACTTCTTGTATGAGTTTATTGTTCTGTGCTAATTCCTTGCGGTATATAACGTGCAACATAGAAAGGTCTCTAACTTAAGAAAGCTATTTTCTTTACTACTTAAAAAAGTTGCTTCTGGAAGACACAGTTTGCGACAACTCTTTACGAAGAAAACGGAAAATTGGCCGATTTAAGAAATATAAGGCTTCGACAAAGTAGTAATATGAGGGGTCCTGCGAGATCATGTATCTCTGACCGTCTGGGTGCCGCTCACGAAACCGTACCACTCGTCGACGTCCTAACGCTTCAGTGCGAATGGTGTAGTCATAAGACGGCCAATTGCGGACATATTTGGGTGTGCACGTCGATCAACTCGGTTTGGAAGCCCTTCAAGTCCTTCATTAGCTGACTTGTAATATTATTGAGAAGCCACAAGATTCTGTCGACGGTCCACATTGAACTAATAATGTTGTTTTTGTTTGAGATGCGAGTTCATTGCCGTGCCAAAGTGGATAAGGTACCACTAGACTTTTACTCACTTCTTCAAATCGAAAATCTCGCACGTTAATTTGATTTTTGTTTTATTTATTTGTCACTGCAATGTTAAATAAGTTAATATTTTTGCACTTCCAAGCTGGTTTTACACTTGGATTTGTAATCGTTATTTTTCCAAATTTTGCTCCACCCCTAAAATTCTCTTCGCTGAGGGTTCCCTACCAAGGGGGATTTCTAGTCAGTTGGGTACAAGGCTACGTGTCATGACGTATAGATACTGAATCGATCAAAACTCAGCGCTACTTGCTAAGAGTCGCAGATGGATGCAGATGCATCAATGCATGCGTGGGTGGAGAGTACACGGGTACGGTTGGTATTGCGCTCATTGGCTCAGCTAGAGGCTTGCCCTCGAGCGATGCGAGACCTATGCTTTTTCCATCGAATATGATCCATACTGGGAACCAAACACGCTTATTCTGGACTTTCAGCAAGCTATGGTAAGACAAAGTTGCTTTGCAGAATGCAATAATCGCACTATCCATATGCCCCCAGAAGGTTCTCTTGCTTACCTTAAACACATGAGTGATGAAGAAATTTTCGTTTCTCATGTAAAAACATGGAATTCAACCAAGTGGTTCCGAGAACGGCAAATGTTAGATCTTAGTTCCACACTCAAAGTAATAAAAAAAGCATCTCTCCTCACAAATGTAGCAGTAGCTACGTTATGTGCGGTAACCTACCTCTTCGGGCCCACGGCTGTACTACTCGCTCTCCAGGCATTAGCAAAGGGTCTGAAGAACTTTCTGAAGTTTTGCCTCAAAATTTCCGTATTTACTTTCAAGTCTGTCAAGCAACTGTGGTCAATTTGCATGCAACCCATCACTGAAATCTCATCAACACGAACATAGCGCTTACTTAAAAATTCTCTTAGTTGTAGTTCTACGTAGAACTTGAGCGCGGCTTTGTTCTTTCCATAGTCAGATCCAATTTTTGGTCGATGATATTATTCTGATGGCTGATGAGGTCCACCAGAGCTTTCATCTTAGCATCGAATGACATCGCGAACATACTGAGTTGCTCCATTAGTTCTTTGATGGCGTCAGATAGCGGCCCAATGTGTATGGCGACATCGATTTCGTCCATGTTTGCTGCGTCCGTAGCGAGGAAAATGAATCGGTGAGTTTCTCATGCTTGAGAATAGCTAAGGGATATGTTGACGTATTGTGCTGTATTATTAGTGAGCCTTCAAGAAATACACCTACTGTATTCTCTACGTAGAACTACAACTAAGAGAATTTTCTAAGAAAGCGTTATGCTCGTGTTGATGAGGTATCAGTGGTGGATCGTATGCAAATTGACCACAGTTGCTTGACAGCCTTTAAGGTAAATAAGGAAATTTTGAGGCAAAACTTTAGAAAACTCTTCAGACCCTTTGCTAATGCCTGGAGTGCGAGTAGTACAGTCGTGGGCCCAAAGAGGTAGGTTACCGCACGTAACGTGGCTACTGCCCAATTGTGACGAGAGATGCTGTCCAGTGGTCTTTTATTACTTTGAGTGTGGGACTAAGGTCTAACATTTGCCGTTCTCGGAACCACTTGGTTGAATTCCATGTTGTTACATGAGAAACGAAAATTTCTTCATCAGACTTGTGTGGAAGGTAAGAAAGAGAACCTTCTAGGAGCATATGCATAGTGCAATTATTGCTTTCTGTAAAGCAACTTTGTCTTATCATAGCTTGCTGAAAGTCCAGAATAAGCGTGTTTGGCTTCCCAAACGGATCACATTCGATGGAAAAAACATGGGTTTCGCATTTTATGATATTCCATGTGTGTGTTGCAGTTGTGCAGGACGCGATTAGGTTGGTGGCTTCTTGGCAGTTATAACATTCCTCCAGCTTTGTCAAGGAGATGTTGCAATCCTGTTTCGTGATATACTCCGCGCTTTCTTGCATATGTTTCGATTCTACCATCAGAGTCATTTCTTATCTTTGAGAGTAAGCGATGACTACGTTTAGGAATGCGCTTGAGACGGGAAGGACATTTGAAATAACGCCCTTAATGGTGGCGATAGTACTGGGTGGACAATAACACCGTGTAGGAGCAGGTTCTGCGTCACATTGGCAAATTACTTTACTTTGACAATGATGAAAATTGTCACTGGCTTCTTTGAATGTTTTGCATTCGACTGGCACGCTTTCAGTTTTTGGGATAATTAGGCCTGCATGTTCAGATATTGCGAATCTGCTTTGCAACAGCGGACATGACGGCCTGGACATGGGTGTCACTGTGAATGAAGTGTCACATACTTTCTTAGTAACGTAAGGTCGGAGTGTTACCCGTCTTCATAGCCATGTCATGATGGATTAGTTGGACTGTTAAGCGGACCAGGGGCTTCCATTCCATGCACTCAGCGATTTCGTACACAAAGCTGTTTCTGGGTACGTGGGCAATACGATAGAATGAACACGATGGAAGTGGTAGAAGGCATCCATATAAGCTCTCCACATGAGGGTTCACAACCCGTGTATCCCGGGTAGAGCAAGGCATTTGCAAATTCATCGATCATGTCATCTGGCTTAGTCATAGAACATGCGCCTTGTAAACAAGAACCCATTTGTGCACATCGAGCGGCACTGAACACTTTGTGCTCGGTGTCACGTGTATAAAACAGAGTACGTTTTGCACACTCCAATTCTAGTGGTACTTTTTCTATGCGACGAATGCCTACTGATTTATTGGTCTGTAGGATATCAAGGCAAGCCATATTGTGAATCTCATCAAACAGAATCTCCCGGCGGAATTTGATTGAGCAGATGTTCTGAGATGTACACATGACCTCTGCATTGTGCCTAATGAATCCCAGCTGACATGCTGTTACTTGTTCATGCAGTAGCGTGGCGCAAACAGTCACTGCGACGGCAGTGATGGCGCTGGGGCGAGAGATTGGGAGCGGCCGAAACGACTGAAGCTGGTTGTCCACCATTTCATCGATCTTACGAATGGCAACTGTAGGATGTGAGCTTTTGTTGACTTTGCCTCACTCCGATGAGGTAACCGTTGCGCCAGAGTAAAAACTGTTGCGTGCCAGCATAAATTTTACGGACAAAGCGGTTGCAGCGATCAACAGGTGAAGAAGCAGTCCTATAGATGCAAATGCCCCTGTTGGCCAACAATGAGGATTGCCCAACAGATGTTTGGGCATGAACATTTGTGATATGTCACATACATAAGGAAGACTGCAGTTCTTTTGCAGCTCAGTGTAATTGTTGCCAGGAACATGTCTCATTGATACTGCTACTACTCCATTGTTTGCTGTTGCGGGCAGTAGAAATGTATTTCTCAAGTTATTTGCGAAATGTCTGCAAGTTGACCGTATGCAGAGCTGAAAGGTGCCATTTGGTGGTATATATGAAGAGCGCCACCTTCGCATGAGAAGGCAGTCACTGATGACCCTGGAAACAGCAGTAATCATGATGATCATTACCACGTTGATGTGCGGGCATAATATGGGAAGTAGAGATCCATCAGAGTCGTCGGTGACCCTTGATATTTCATGGATCGCTTTCTTCGCTTTAATCCTTGCCAGACGCGAATTGTTGCATTCGCTCATCTGCATTTCTCGAACATTATGATCAGCTTGTGGCCTAGTAGGCGGAACCTCATCGTTTCTTGCTGAAATTTCCAGTGGATAGACTCTGTTTGCAGGTCGTAGCCATACATGTTTGTTGGGCATGAACAGTTTAACAGACCTCACGAGGTCATCACAACCTTTCATTAGGTAAACAACTTTGCCATAACACCAGGAGCCTCATGGTAGATTTTCTTGTTCGACTAGGACAATCTCGTCAATTTGTGGCTCTCTCTGTTTCACCTGTCGCGGTTGTTTTCTGTTTATAGCCTGCATTTCGCGGAGAGAAAAATATTCACCGATGTACCACCGATCCCAAAATTTCGAACTGACTTGCTCCGCATGTTCTATGGCCTGCTTAGCTTGGGCAGCTGTTTGAATGAGTTTGGAATCGACCGTTGGATCTGTGTCCTGCTCACTGTCCGTCTCAGCTAAACTGTATTTCAGGTTGTTCTGCAAGAAATCGACTGACCGCAAAGGGATGTCATCCGTATTTGCATTCTTATAGCCGTAAGGGGTCTAGTGTTGATTACGGCTTCAATTTGCGTTATGATGGTATAGAGCTGTGCGTGTGACAGCCTTTTTCGCCCGACGGATTTGTTGAAGGCACGTTTGACTGACCCTACGAGTATTCCCCACGCTCCACCCATCCAGAGTGCCCCTGGTGGGTTGAAGACCCATTGTATTCTATGGTTAAAACTATAGAACATTACAGAATCGCGCGTACTGTCGTTCGGACAAGACATTTTTTTCAATGATTTGTTGGTCAAGTTTGAAATTCGTGCCAGAGTCTGTTAGAATGATAGTGGGAACTCCTCTCCGAGAAATGACCTTTATGAAGGAGTTCAAGAACGCTCCTGTAGACATATCTTCCACCACTTCGAGGTGACTGCTCTAGACGTGAGACACGTGTATAAGGAAACGTAGTATTAGGTTGACCGGAAAGTTTCCCGCCATTGAATTTTTAAAAATATTTTAAAAACGAACTAACTTGTAACCTCTCCAATCTTCTCCAGCTCAGATACAACAGTTGATTGGGCATGGTCGAGCATCGCAACAAGTTCCCTGGTAGTGGCGTGCGGATCCTCTTCCACGGAGGATTGTAGCAACTTCAGGTCTAACTCCATCGGCCGGCCGGACCTTGTAGCATCTTGGAGAGAAAAATATTCTTTCTTAAACTTGGCCATTCAGGTCTTGCACGTATCGTAAGAGACAGCGTCAGCGCCTTATGTATCCACTATCTTGGCTGAGGCTTCCTTTGCGTTTAAGCCGGACTGATGATGGAAAAGAGACAGTGCCACAGGTGCATCCTGTTGGGTTGAAACTTGGGCGGCATTTCAGAATTCAAATGCAAGCTGGGTAAGTGTGAGGCCCTGATGTGAAAGAGTTCTTGCGTGCTTCATGCACACTCCACGATAAGTCGTAAACATACATGCAAGGCTAATATGGTGCGAACAAACACGTGGCGGGAAATTTTTCGGTCAACCTAATATTTTTCATTGTTTTTGGAGTGGAAAGGCCCCATGAAGTCGCAACCGACTGATTGGAAGGATCTCGCTAGTACAGTCTTGTCTTTGGGTAAAGGAGGCATTTCTTGTGCTCCGAACGGGAGTCCCTGAGCTTTTTTCAAGTACTTCTTGAATACCCCACATGGTCGTGGTATTCAAAAGCGTTGCTTCGCAAAACAGTGTATGATCCTTCCCGGAATGGCCATTTGATAGAATGTCGGTTACGAGGAGTCGTGTGATATCAGAGTTCTTCTCCAAATAAATGGGGCTCTTCACATCGTAAGAGACGGGTGCATTCTGAATGCGAGATGCGTTTCGAATGATCCCGTTTTCGTCGCGAAAAACTTTCTTCTGTGGAAACCTCTTTTTGAGCGTGTTTAGGGAAATTGAAACATGTGCTTTGCGAATAGAAGAGTTTCACTTAGTTTCATATCTTCTGCGGTGATCTCATAGCCGAGGTCGAACAGATGCAGCTTTTGTAAGCATACCTTGCTCTGGCTCTCCTTTCTTCTGTTTTCTTTAATCAACCATGCATGAAGTACTTTTCCTAGCGTGCAAAAGTCCGCAATGCCTTATCTAAATGTGAGAATCGTGCAAGTGAGATTAGACCGGGACGACTGCTAGTACTGACACCTGCTAGTTGTACAGTTAATGTGTAATCTCCGTTCTAGCGTAAATCTAGCGTTTCCTTATCTTCTTCCACTTCCTTTTGTTCATGAATATCAGCTAGCTTCCTCAGTCTAGTAGATATTTGTTATGAATTGCTACAATCTTATTGTGATTGGACCAACTATGCCAATAGGGTCGTAAATGGAACTTGATTGGCTGACTACGTCTCTTTTTGTCAGCTTGTCTTTTTCCGCAAAATTGAGGCATATTCCGAACTTGTCTGACTTGTTGTCGTATCTCACTCCAAGAATGGTGGAAACTCCGGAAACGCTCGGAGCGCGATCGCATAGGTATAGCGTCATTCACTTCTATTCGATTTGATGAGTATTCTCTAAGATTCATTCCGATTCCGGAAAGGAGGGCCTTACTCTCTTTGTACTTGGAGATAGCCTCTGATGGTGTAGAGTAACTGAGGAGAATGTTATCGACATACAAATTGTCAAGGATCTCTTCCGAAAGCCGAGTTTTCCGCGATCGCAAAAGTGTGAAAAAGGCCATATTTAAAAAGACGGCTTGGTGCCAAAGGGGACCCTCTTGAAGCGGTATTCTACAAAGTTTTCTCGATAAGGGGGCTTGTTCGGGTCTTTGAGCCAAAGGAATCGGCATAGGTCTTTGTGCGTATTTTGAAGCCTCATTTGAATAAACGCGGCTTCGATAACACAAGTTAGAATGATTTCATTAATTCTGCTGGCGACTGATATATCGTGGATTTTTCTGATAAGCGATTCACCCTTGTGTGTGACATCGTTCAGCGAAAGTTGACCTTTTCGTTTTCAAAGGGCCTCGAAAACGATTCGTAGAGGTTCCGGTTTCTGGGGACGCCAAACCCCAGAGTGGGGCATGTACTATAACCCTACCGAGTTTGGGATATTCTCATGCGTCTTTCGATAATTGCTTTAGCTTCGTACTGGTTTAGGATTTTCATGTACCATTTTTTCTGCTCGAGGTTATTCTCAAGCAGGGGGAAGGGAGCCATAAGGAACCCCCATAGAAGGTCATTTGCTTTGAGTATTTGTTGAAATATAACAGTAAATCTTTGCTTCCCTCATCGTTTTCGGGTGCGATTCCAAGCCCTTCCAATTCGAACAATTTGGTTAGCATTTCGTTTTCCGGCTTGGCCGAGGTCACTGCTGTGATACAGTGGGCTACTGCCGGCGCGGTTATACCGAATCTTGAGCATCCATGTAGCCGCGACGTATAATGTTGGACCGAAGATGGTGCCGGCTAGTCGAAGTCCAGATGAAATTTGAAGGATCTCTCCTTTTCCATGCACAAAATCGTAGTAGTGGTTTAAGCCGACTAGAATTTGTAGCAAGTGATTTCGCCACGAATACTTGGATTACATACTAGAATGTCGCGATCCTGAATGAATGCCTGATCTGCAGGTCTAAACTTCACTGAAGGGAATCCTTTAGTGAGGATAGGTTTCATTTGGATCAAGATGTCGAGATCTTTTCCATACACGGCACCTATTTTGACACTTACTACGTTGCTCTCAAACATTTCGTTATTCCTGCCGATTCCCGACATGAGGCACATCTCGGTCTTTAGTCTTGGAAGCCCGAGTTTGACGGCGAATTTTTCGAAATCCACGAGGCGAATCTATAGCCGATCACACAGGAACCTATCCATGGACACCATACCGGAGAAGACTGCCAACTATGTACTGACTGTATAGCTCTTCCCTAACAGAGCCGGTTTGGTGAAGCGTAGCTGTTCTACGTCAGATGCACCGAAAGACCATCAAGTTGCTGTCTTCTACTGCCCATGGCCGCGTCCTCCGGCACGACCGAGAAGTCGCTCGATGAAACGCTGTCTATCTCGAAAGATGGCACCGACTAAAAACGTGAACGCCAGACCAACACGACCTCCTACACCGAAACCTTTGTGAAGGAGCACAGGTAGGCTTGTCGATTTAAAATTCAATTGATGGAGTAGGTACCGGTACTCAAAAATGATGACAGACGCTTTTGGTATAAATCGTAAGAGTGAACAGATGCGAAAAAGTGCATCGTACGGTGCAGTGGCGCTGGTACCAAGTGTGCCTGAGGGTCGAGTACGACTAGGTGGCCGGCCAAGCCAGCCTAGTCGTCTCCCTCCACCTCTCTGGCTCATTGCTTTGGCCCTGGTGCAATATGGAGCCAATCTGGAGGTGGCAGCACAAAATGCAAAAACGGCAAAGCCCCGGAGATCCGAACCATCAAACCAGCCTAGTCGTCCCAATTCGTAGTTCTCATCACTATCCACCTTACCATCCGTCGCTCCTTCATCTTGCCCGTGGAGAACACATATGAAACTTCCCCGCACTTTTCAACATTCTTCACCGTGTGGCTCCCTTTTTTGGCTACCGTTCACAGTATTTTCAATGCGCAGTTTTCTGGCGCCTTCTACTGTGCGGACAGTCGACGCCATGAATGGAACAAACGACGCTTAGTGGGTTAAAACGGCGATTTCAGACAAAATCATTTTCACTCCTTTTTTGGCATTCAGAAGGCCATTTAGCGTAAATGGACCATAGTTCTATACTCAGTGCTCATGCTCCTACACCATGCAAAAAACCATTTTCAAAAATCGTCCCACGCCCTGAAAGATCTTCCTTGTCAGAGATGCTTTTTAGCCAAAAGAATATTGTTTTACCTGACTTTAAGAAGGGGTGGGGCTCCGGGGTGGGTGTTATAGTTATCTCGTGCAAAAAGCAGAGTTGGGACAAAAATTGAACGTCCAATTGGGTCACCCATCCCGGAGCTCCTCCCTTTCCTAAAATTAGATGAAAAATACACAGTTATAACATAAAAAATATGAAACACTCCTAAGCACCATTATGGGCTTGGCTGCTCTCACTTCTCTGCGTTTTAGCCGTCAGTGATTTGAAGGGCGCTGCCCCCCCCCCCCCCAACTACATTTTCACCGAAAGGGGAAATGAATTTATTGCATCGTGGAAACCATTCATCCTCTACATGGTTTTCGTGTAATGTGATGATCTTAAATTTGAACATTGCCTTGTCCTTACTACATATTATTTTAAAATCTCTTATAATAATAACAACAATAATAATAATAACAATAATAATTATGGTAATGATAAAGTTTCCTACTCATAAAATCAATATTAGTTCACTGAGACTATCAGAGAAGTCAGCAGCCAACCAATTAAGAGAGGTTACCCCACAGGCGAGTGAGCGAAGGTGCGAAGAAGAAATGCCGACTCCCTACTCCCGGGAGGATCTATCCAGCAAACTTGGAGCAATGCCGTGAAACCTAAAGCGTGTGTGATCCTGCGGTGTTCAAATGAAATACTTGGAGAAACTCAAGGCGGATTTCGAGGCGGCAAGGGAGCATGGTTTGGAGCGATGAAGTCCAGTGATTAGGGAGGCAGAAGGAAAAGCCCAAAAAGAGCTGGCGAAAGTTCGAGCTCCAGTGAACCTAGCTGCCCACAGTACTTCTAAGAGGCTCGTCGAGGCTGTTGTAGCGAAAGGAAGGAATAGAATAGATGCTCATATGAGAAACTTCATGTCCAAGAAGAGACGCAGCACATGGCCGCTCAAGATATCGAGGTGGTGAAGTTCATTAAGATAAGCGAAAGTGTAATCCTGAGAACGCTTGGTGAGGTCAGACGTATGTGGAAAGAACAGTCTGACATGGAAGGAATAGCCTGACAAGCTATTCTTTTCATGTCAGACTGTTCTTAAATGAGGGATCCGCCCGTGAGAACTGCCACTAACTGGAGGCGAACAGCTGGTCTAATCAAACTGTGGACAAAAGATGAGATGCGTAAAACATTAGGAAAGATGAAAATTAGGATCGCAACTGGTCCAGGTGGGGCACCGAGTCGAGTCGTAGAAGACGTTCGAAGTGCACGGGATGAAGTGGCTCACTCGATTCCAGGACACTGAGCGGTAAATGAAGAATCAGATGAGTAGAAGACAGTACTATCGTTGACGGTTCACAAGATGAAACTGTAGAAGCGGTTAGTCAAGATGGAGGGAGCTGGTCCCGATCTCACAGGAGCAGTGCGGTCTCACGCCTGAAAGATATACAACGGATATAACGGATGCCATTTTCATAGCTAAAGCAGTAATGGAGAAGTATCGAGCAAAGCGTAGACTCTGCTTCCTAGCTGCTCTCGACTTGAAGAATGCATTCGACCGTCTACCAAGACTAGTCTCTGGAGAACGAGATGTCCCTGGTCAGGGATCTGTACGATGGTTCTATGACAAAATACGAACTCCACATGGCCTAACCGAAGCTAGCAGACCGGAGCGGGCTCCGTCTAAACATGAAGTTCTTCAGTTCCGAAGAGTGCACTCAGTCAGTCATCCTTACTATATATAAACGGCAAACGTCCGTTTGTCTGTTTTTCTGTCTGTCTGTCCTTCCGAAAGTCACGTAGGCACGATGTGGATGTGAATATCACGTGAGCGCGTTGAGGAAACAGTTATGAAATGGGAAGTCAACCGACACTATTGTTGGTACTCTAATAAATTGTAGGTAAGCGATAGTGATATAAGGTGCACGCGTTAGCATGCGTGCGTGAGCAACTGGTAACGGTAAAAGCGGTGAAATATACGTTTACGGTGTTAAAGTGAAGATGCCTAGATGGACACGCGGTTGGACGCGAGTGGACCGGATTAGGAAGATGTCAGGTCGGCCATGCAAACAGCTACTGTACAACTAAGCTGGTAAAGCAGCTTTTGCGGTGGTTCGGACACGTACTAAGAAGATCGTAGAATCATCCTACAAGGGATGCCATGGAGTACGAGGCTCAGATAAGCGATCGCGAAGAGCCCCAAATAGAGATGGCGGGACATGATGGAGAACCTCGCTGAAGAAAAGGTAACGGCAGTCGATGCTGTAGGTAGAAAGAATTGAAGACGGCTGACGAGAACAGCGGACCGTGTGAAGGCGCGGGATTAACACTAGTAAGAAGAAGAGGAAGAATAAGAGCGGTCATTCAAAATGAGATGCATACCCGCAGATGTGTCTGCGAACGCTGTTCAGATCCTCATAAATCTACGAAACGATTCTGAAAACGAAGTTACGTGAGCATTGCTTCCATGTGATTGGGTTTTTGTCAAGCATGCATAGAGGGCGAGTCGCCAAGGCAGATGTTACGCGATGGCACAGCAAGTAAGACAATGAACTCGCGAGCGTGGCGCGAGTGTATCCATCCCGTGTGCACAGAAGCTTTTATGAACTGTATGCTTAAAAGTTGATAGCAGTTCTGCTATCAACCTTTGAGCATACAATTCATAGAAGCTTCTGAGCACACGGGATCCCCATTGGTGCATTCTCGTGTGCATTGTGCACATGGGATTCCCAAAATTCATAAAAGCTTCTGTGCACACGAGATTTCCCATCGGCTGAATGTAGCCTTCGCTACCCATAGGAAACATAGAAAATAATTGTTGGATGAAGCCCACTCCTGCCCTTCTTCGACCACAGGAGAGATGCTCCTTCACAAATCCTAGATTAGGAAACCTTGCAGTGTTTTCTGCTATCGAGAAAGCATCATTTTATATGACAATGATTATGCTGCTCCGCTCTGCTCTTATATATGTTCTTATATGTTTTATAATGAACCGATGACGTGACTCTCGAAGCAAGCTGATGTAATAATCAATGGGCATTCTATGACCACACATAATTTCAAATTCAAAGCGTCCTATCGCATTCATCATTATTGCCGTTTCCGTCAAGGTGGAATGAGGAGCAGTATGGTCAAGATGTTGAGATGAGCCAAACTGAGGATTTGCAATAGCGATTCGTTCTAAATTTTCCCAATGATATTTGACCTGATGGAGTGAAGTTTGCCTTTTGTAAATGGTAAAAGATGGTGACTACTTCACTTGGACTACAGAAGCTCACGGGCGAAATCAGGAAACTTGGATCAGTTCTTTCTCCCGAAATTATTGATCAGTTCTTTCTCCCGAAATTATTCATTATTCTTTATTAATCACAAAAACTTCGAGGGTCTTCCATCTGCACTGTCAACATAAGGTTGGATAGGATAAAATTTCCGACCTTTACGGAATATTTGCGTACGTTGTCATATAGGACATGCTAAATTATTAGAATGAAGCACTTTTATAATTCTTGCTTCTAGCAACAGAAAAAAAGTCAGTCGCCCAATCAGTGGGTCTTGCAACGGTCCACAAAAGGCGTATTCCGCCCGAAAGTGGTGACGCGATATTTGTATTTGTGTTTTTTGTATTTGCAACTCTTCTCCTGCGAAATTACGCGAGCTACAAGCGGAACAAGCTAACTAACATGGGAAAAATGAAAAAGTAGAAAAGAAAGTAGAAAGTGAACGAAAAAAGACCTAATACGTGCCGAGCATATGTAACCTTAGCAATGCTCCGCTTACTATGCCGATGCGTGCATTCGAATGAAAGATACTTTTGAAAGCAAATATAATGGTCAGAAGTCACAGGAGATTAGTGGCCAAACCTCCAAAATGGACGGGGTTCGCACCGAGGTGGGCGGGGCTACGATCAAAAGTTCGTAACTCTGTCCAGGAACGTTCTACAGCGCGGGAAGAAAGTGATTGGAGGTTCTAAAAGATGTGTGGCCAAACCAGTAGCGGACCCACCCCTGCGTTCACCCCGGAAGTCAACGAGGTCTTCCTCGAAATCCGGCGGATGAGGGGTCTACCTAAGGCCTGACAACTGAAGGGGTG